ATCCGAGAGTCGAAAAACGTCGACAGTTACGAGGATGGCGACCGTGACCCCCGCGATCCCTGTGACAGTTGACACTTTTCGTATCTAAGAGTCCAAAAATGATGACAGTTACAAGGAAACGAGAGGGGGGGGGTCGAGCCAAACCTTGGAAAAAAACGGCGGAGCCAAACCTTGGAAAAAAAACCCTCCACCGTTTACGGTTTGGGGTTTAGGGCTTAGGGTTTAGGGTTTAGGGTTAGAGAGTCTAGGTTTGAAGGTGTAGGGTTGGGGAGGTTTGTAGTAGGGAATTGATGTATGTTTGCATTTTCTTTTCCATTAATTATCCCTATATAACCCTTATAATGATACTATATATTAGCTTCCATTCTCTTTTCCATTATCCCTATACCGTAGGTTAGAGTGTCTAGGTTTGAAGGTGTAGGGTTTGGGGGGATTGAGGATCTGGGGCTAGGTTTTGAAGTAGGGTTGAGGATTAAGTGTTGGAGGATCCAGTTGGAAGGTCTAAGGGTTTGGGCTTGCTGTTTCTAGGTTTGAAATTGATTTCTGTGTTGGTGTGGTTCATGTCCCTGTCGCGATCGTCGTGGTCGTCTTGGTCGTGGTGGTCGTCGCGGCGGCGACTGTTAGGATTCAAGGGGGTTCAGGGTCCAGGGCTCGGGGTCAAGTGTACAATCTTGTGGCGCCTTGATGGTCTTCATTACGCTTGGCATCGTGCATCCCACCATACCGGCGATGAGACGAGGAGGAGGAGGACGATGATGCCGATGATGATGACGATGGCGATGATGAATTATCATCGTCATTCTTGCCTGAGTTGTTCACTCTTTTTGTCGGAAGATAAGAGTGAAAGTATGGGGAAAGGCTTGCAAAATAATGGGCACCCTTTCATCCCCACAAGCTCTGCCTTTGCGAGGCTATTCGTCTGCAGTCCCAGACACGATTCTCCGCTGGACACATCTTTGTCATTGACATCAAGCATATGCCGACAGGCAGGTTTCAAGGTAAGGAGTTTCAGAGTCAAGGGTGATTTGGTAGTTTCCCAAAATAGGGGTACCCCAAAATAGATCCCCAAATACTATAGTCCTTACTATAGGGACCCACAAAAGGGTACCGTTCATTTTGGGAAACCCTAAACCCTATAATCCCCTACATATCCTCAGTTTCCATTTCATTTTCCATTTTCTTTTCCATTTGATTCTCCATCATAGTAGCTTTAGGTACCCTCCATTTTGGGAAGCCCAGATTTTGAAGACTTACTTTGGTTGGATGGTGGCTTCCAACTCCGGCAGTGCATTTGCCAATGCTGGTGCACATCTCTAAGACCCTATCCACTGTAGCCCTAAAGGTCCAAGTACCCAATAACCCAATAACCATACACTTACCCAGAACCTGTACTACAATTATTAGTACCAGAATCAAAAGCTTAATCTCGAACTCTCTTCGAGCCGCCTCTGCTGTAGCTGCGCTTGTTGCTGCCATCATGATAGCCTTGTCTTCCCTTTAGCTCTTAAGGAACTTAATTTAAGTTACTATATTGGGGAAACCCTATTATTTACTATATATACCCATTATGGTAACTTAATTTAAGTTCCTTAACAGCAACCCAGATTATCTTACTGGTTGTGAGTAGGTACTGGAGGAAGGGACCCCTACAGCAGCCTCGCTACTGTCCCCAGTAGTATGGTCCGGTGGTTTCCATGTTTTCCATTTCTTCATCAACGCCCAGACCCTAAACCCTGAGCCCTAAATCCTAAACCCTAAACCCTAAATCCTAAACCCTAAACCCTAAACCCTAAACCCTAAACCCTAAATCCTAAACCCTAAACCCTAAATCCTAAACCCTAATCTTCTTGAGGCGAAGGGACCTGGCCCGCCTGGTGGGCGTACGGACCAAGCTGGCCGAATAATGGCGAGCTTCTAGGTGAAACTTACTACAGGGTTTAGGGTTTAGGGTCTAGGGTTTAGGGTTTTACCACTTTAGAATTATTTGAAATTTGGTTTCCTTTTTTTCATCCCTTCAGCCCTAAATTTTTAACCCGGAGCCAGAAATTTAAATTGTATTGGAGGATTGAAGAGCAAGCAAGGATTGATACCATCGAGACGGTGGAGACTGAGACCTATGTGCACACGACTCTGCACACAAGTGCCGGTTGCAACATGCCAAGCGTCAAGGGGAGCCTCGTCATAATCCTGTCTCCTCACAAGCATCCCCCCGCAACGCCCGTAATAATACATATTCCGCCTACTATTTAATGGCATTCACATGGGGAGGTCTTGTTATGCAGGGGGATGGGAGGTTGTACGTAGTATATAGGGGGGATTAAGATGTTGAGGATGGAGGGAGTCAGGTTTGACTCTTCTTGATGAGTAAAGAATGTTGCTACAATGTCCCTTGTACTTTTTCTAGGGTCCGTGCGTCTGCTGCTACGAGTCCTCATCCACCACCACAGCCATCATTATCGCCCCATCGCCGTTGCAGCCAAGGATCTTCAATCCCAATTGCAATGCGGGTAACGCAAATGAGGGTTGTGGAATTGATGGCCCCGCCGGTAGTGGCGGCTCCGTGTTTAACGACAACGGAGGCGGCGTGTTCGCCACGAAGTGGACTTCAAGCGGGCTGCGTATGTGGTTCTTTCCCAGAGACAAGATTCCGGCAGACATCACAAGCAGCAGCCCAGACTCATCTACTTGGGGCGAACCTTATGTGACCTTCCCGTGCCTGGATCGATGTTGAATCAAATTGTGTTAGCTTAAACGACGACTGGAGGGCAACCAAAAACGAAGAAGGAACCGCTCTCTTTCTGTTACAACGGCCGAACCCAATTCCACCTACCATAGTACTTGCTGCTGCCACGACCACTGCTACTGATAGTGTGACCACCACCACCACCACCACCACCACCAACAACAACAACAACAACAGCAACCACAACAACCACACCGCGCACACCA